GAAAGATAAGGTTTCAACATCAGAATGTGCAGTCAGTTGGAGCAATTAAACTGGGACACACACAGAAGGTTGGAAGTTTCTTCCCTTTGGTCAAAACACCATGATTACAAAACTAAATTGGTAAAGATCACAATGTTTCAACAACAGTACAGTTAAAAGCAAGGGACTAGAATCACAAATGTTTTTACTGTAATTTCAAAAGTATGTTTACTTTATATAGAAGGGGCATTTTTGAGGAGTGTACAAATTGCATTTTAAAAAAAAGGGCCGGCCCGGTGGCGCACTGGATAGTGCGCCGCTTGGGAAGCGCGGCGGCGCTCCCGTCCGAGGGTTCGGATCCCATGTACAGACCGGCTCCCGCTCACTGGCTGAGCGAGGCGCGGGAGCAACGCCGAGGCTTGCGATCCCGTCGCCGGTCCCCGGTCCGGTACGGGGGCAACACTGAGGGTTGCGATCCGTTGCCGGACATGGAAAAAAAGACAAAAAAACAAAAAAACAAAAAAAAAAAAATGAAGTAATTGTTCCACTGCTTTATAGTAGTTTTACAGATGGCTTATCCTCACTTTTAATTTATCTTCAACTCACAGTGATTTATGACATTTTTTTGCTGCAAGTTTTGCCATACCTCAGCTCTTATGTCAAATAGTTCATGATCTGTAGGTACAAATGCACAAGGTTGGACAGCCATGGATCTTTTGGAAGTAAAGTATTCCCTTATCATGTAGATAATCATTCCTTAACACATCTGCTGGTAAGTCTTGACTGTTGCTTATGAGTATTTCTTTAATCAAGGCATGCCTTTCCTTAACATAGAGAGACCACTTACAATACTGACACTTTGAAGAAAATAAAGAAAAAGAACATGAAGTACCAGCCATTGACTAGTACTGAGGTAAATTGATTTGTAGTCGTTACCTTTGTGGAGCTGACCAGATTGGCTAAATATGAGTTAACTAGCATCTACCAAGTGTGAGTTAATAATCAGGTTCTGACCTGGGCTAGTACAAGAGTCATTAGCGTCAGAGAACTGTGGTGAACACTCTGGATTTCTTTCCTTTGAAGTCTGCCTGGCTTCTCTTCCATCAGTATCTTTATTGTCCTTTGATGACAACTACACAACCTGGTTGAAGGAAACATCTACTCTCATCTATGAGTGAGGAGTGTGTAAGAGTTAACTCTCCATTTTCCCCGAGGAGATGCAGTGGTTCTACAGTCTACCCCTTTTTCCTTGCCTTGATGCTATACACTTATGTGTGTATGTGCCCGTAGGTAGATACTCCTGGATCCAGAATTGGCTTCACGGCTGGTCATCCATGGACACTCTCAACATATTATAGGTTCACCCCACTGCTGTCTTCCTATAGAACCTTCCCCACTGAC